TCATCCTTTTTGATTTCTGCCAAGTCGAGCTCATATTGTCTCCTCTTTGTTTCTTTCCTATTTCATCTTTGTTGCCTTGCTTCTGAATTTAGCGAACTCCTGAGGAATACTTACATTTCTGGGTGTTGGGTTTTGCTGTGGCATATTATGTTGGAGTCACTTGACATTTGGGTAGCTATGGAAGAAGAGGGTTGAAGATGTCATCGAAATGAACTTTGAGTGGATTTTTTTTTCCCCCAGAACAGTCTCTGAAGAGAGCTCAAATATTGGATGTAAAAGTCACTTGGTCTCTCCCAATTGCAGCAGCGACAGTCAGTATAGCTTTTAAAGTGTTCAAGTCGCCACTGGCCTTTAAAAAAAAAAAAAATCTCTTGACACACAGTGGAATGTGAGCTCTTGCCCCCAATCCAGTCTCCTGGTTCAAAGACAGCAGGGCAAGGAGGCGCCTGACTCAGCTCCTTTTTCCCCCCACGCTCCTTTGCACTAGACTGGACTGTATTTCACACTTCGTCATCCAAGCCAGAGTTGAGGAAACCAAGTAGGAATTCCTTTCAGAATCAGATGCAGTGCCAGAGATCCCTTAAGTAGTGTGAAAAGCAAAATCCATAGAGGTAATTAAAAAAAAATTTTTTTTTTCCAGCCCGGCTTGGTGGCACATGCCTATCAAGTCTCAGCTACTCAGGGGGCTGTGGCAGGAATTCCCTAGAGCCCCAGAAGTTCAAGATCAGCCTGGGCAACATAGTGAGAACCTGTCTCAAAAGTAAATACAAGAATAAATTAAATCAGAAATCTAGGCATGAGAGTGGGGGCGGTGTAAAGAAAGGAGGAGACTGGCAAACCAACCATATAAAACAGGCCCTAATCGCTCTATGTTGTAGACAGTTCTTGTGGCAAAATATCATTTGCTGTAGAAGGAAATCCCCATTCTCTGAGTAGTTTCATTTATAGCCTAGTTGATTGATTAACTGTAAAATAAAGTTGACAGGGAAACATTTTTTGAAGAGGATGCTGACAAGACAAGGGGGTAATAAGCATAAATCAGATTCCAGTATTAATGATGCGTCCGCTGTGTGGCAATGCTTTTCGAGTGTCTCCAACACACTTCACCTCCTTCCAGTCTCATATTCATCTTGCAGTGTGGACATGACTGTGCTCACAGCAAGACCTGACCTGCCCAGAGCCTGTTCCCATGTCCTCTGCTGACATTTAATAAGGTGCAGGGCCAGGATGTCAGCCCAGCCTCTCCGAAGCCAGTTTCTTTTTTCTACATTACCATATTTCCTCCCTGGGAAGCACTTGTAAGAGGATGAAGAAGCACTGACGATTAAATGCTCTAATAAAATGGCTGGCAGTGTAGCTCAGTGGTGGGGCTTTTGCCTACTGTTTGCCTTGCATGCAGAAGGCCCTGGGTTCAGTCCTCAGTGCTGCAAAACACAATAAAAACAAAATGAAGGAAAAACAAAACCAAAAATCAACCCCCCAAACCAAAAGCAAACTTGAACTTATTTCTTGGGAATGCTTTTTAAAAAAGTGCAGTTAACCTTCAGCCCTGAGTGGTTTGGGGGTGCTCACCTTGAAGACAAAGGTGGGTTAGATTCCTTAGGCACTAATCAGTGCTGAAGGAGTCGAAGACCCCAGCAGCAGCAGGATAATGGCTTTTTATCATCTGCTGTTCATAACTCCATTATCTTACATAGTAAGATAAGTTATAAATGCTGATTCTATTGGAGATTTTTTTTTTAAATTTTGTATCCAGGACAATGTCTTTTTTTTTTTAAGATATTTATTTTTTTAGTTGTAGTTGTACACAATACCTTTGTTTTATTTATTTTGTATGTAGTGCTAAGGATCCAACCCAGGGCCCTACATGCGCTAGGCAAGCGCTCTATTGCTGAGCCACAACCCCAGCCCCTGGGACAATGTCTTTTTAAAAAATTAATTAATTTTAATTTTTAAAAATGTGTTTTAGTAAGTTATACATGACAGTTGAATGCATTTTGAAGCATTATATATAATGGAGTATAAATAATTTCTCATTCTTCTGGTTATACACAATGTGGACAATCCCACCGGTTATATAGTTATATATGTACATAGGGTAACAATGTCTGATTCATTCTCCTATCCTTCCTACCCCCATACCTGCTCCCCTTCCCTCCCTCCTCCCTACCTAAAGTACCTCTAGTCTTCCCTAACCCCCCTGCCCATTGTGAATTAGCATCCACATATCAGAGAAAACATTCGGCCTTTGGTTTTTGGGGGATTGATTTATTTCACTTAGCATGATATTCTCCAGCTCCATCAATTTACCTGTAAATGCCATTATTTCATTCTTCTTTAAGGCTAAGTAATATTCCATTGTGTATATATATACACCACAGTTTCTTTATCCATTCATTTGTTGAAGGGCACCTAGGTTGGTTCCATAGTTTAGCTATTGTGAGTTGAGCTGCTATACATTGATGTGGCTGCATCACTGTAATAGGATGATTTTAAGTCCTTTGGGTATAAACCAAGAAGTAGGATAGGTGGTCAAATGGTGGTTCCATTCCAAGTTTTATGAGGAATTCTATTGGAGGAGATTTTAATGGCAGGAATAAAGATGAATCAATAATGTAGTTCTCCCCATGGAGATAAGGTCAAGATCTGCACTGAAATAAACTCTTAAGACAAGGGAATCTTTATCTGGGGCCCATAGACCTCCCATGATCAGGCAGGTTCTGCTAACAGGCTTCAAGGGATTCATGAGCTCTGTGAAATTACACATAGACTTTTTTGGTATGTGTATTTTCCCTGGTGAAAAGATCCTTAGCTTTTATCCTCAAGTGACCCAAAAAGGTTATTTTCAGAGGCTTTTTTGGAACATTTGAGGTATCAAGCACATGAAGACACAAAGAATTCATTTCTTATATTCTTAAAAAAATTTTTTTTTGTATTTGTAGACGGCCAGCATGCCTTTATTTTATTTATTTTTGTGTGCGGTGCTAAGGATCAAACCCAGTGCCTCACACATGCTAGGCAAGTGTTCTGTCACTGAGCCCCAGCCCTAGTCCAAGAATTCATTTCTTTAAACTCAAACTTTCCTTATTTTCAGGCAGCATGAGGGAACCCTCAGCACAGGCCCGATGACTTTTCAAGCCTAAGAATCAGATCCTGATTCAGGCATCAAGATCAATAAGGTTGGAATGATTATTCCTGAACCTTCCACACTGTTTTAGAACCAAGTAGTCTTGATGCCACAGCATGAGAAAGATGGTCCATGCCCATCCACAGATAGATACAGCTCACTGATGAATGACACTAGTTCCTAAATAAATCACGATCGTATAAAATTAGACCATGATGGGCTAGTCTATAAAAAGATTGACTTTTCAGTGTCAGGCGAGTTTAGAAGCAATTGTTATTTTTTACTCTAAACCAGTGGCCCTTTAACTTGGAAACAAAGATCCAATGATGACCGTGTAAAATACAAGCCAAGACCTGCTGTCTTCCTGAGTCCCCATGGGAAAGAAGGGGGACGGGATCCCTAGGGAAAGTGAGGGCCACAGAAGTTATAAATTCTTAGATCCTCAAGGTGGATTCTGAGAACAATGATATATCTGTGGTGGTTTGCAGCAAGGCAGAGAAAGATGTTAAAATTCTTTTTTTCTACATGAAGAACCCAGAGTAATTTGAGTTCCTCATTATCTAGCTTCTGTTGGGTGGGGCATCTCTACTGAGAGTCAGAGAGGCTGGGCTGCCCAGGAAGCAAAGACCCACCACCAATTCTTTTTTTGGTGGTTCTTGTTATTACTTTTGTTGATTAGTTTGGTTTTTGGTGCTGAGGATGGAGCCCACGACCTCCTCATGAATCCTAAGCACATGATCTACCACTGACCTATATCCAGTCCTATTTCTTTAAGGCTCACAGGCTGCAGTTTACTTTAAGGAACAGTCTAGTTAACACAAAAAGAGTCTCGTTTTAAGGTACCATTTGCTTGGGGGAACCCCTATGCCCAGAAAAGATATGATCCTAACGATCCTTAATAGTATACACAGGACCAACACCAGGGAGGATTTCTTCTAAGAAGGCAAGGATACTTTAACCTTAGAAGAGCTGCTAATGAAAAATACTACAAGAGGTTAAAATAGGCCAGCTGTGGTGATACACGCCTGTATGCCTGATGACTCTGGAGGCTGAGGCAGGAGGATTGCAAATTCAAGGCTAGTCTCAGCAACTTAGACGTCATCGTTGTCATCATCATCATCATCATAATATAGTCACACAATCCTGATTCAAGTTTTGGTCAAAAGGTTATGGAAGAATATTTTCTTCTTAACATGTTAAAGAATATCTATCTCAAACCAATGACTAATATTATATTTGCTGGTGAGATCGTTGAGATATGTGCATTATAGTAAGGTAGGAAGATAAGGATGCTGGTTACTAAACACTGTTCTGGAAGTTCCAGCCATTATAGTTCTTTAAAAAAAGGAAATAAATGGTGTGACCATTGAAAAGATAAAGTAAAGGTGTCTTTACTTAGAAATAGCATGACTTTCTATTCAGATAAAAAACTGCTTTGAAGTCAGAGTATAAATTTTTAAAATGGGCTGTTTCTACAACCCCACCTTCCCATTTATGACCCAGATAACACTGCTTTGTCCATTCATGGACTTTGTTCTTGCCATTCTCTTTCTCTTCAATTTTATTCTCTCTCTCTCTCCTAGATTATCCCAGTCAACACATGTTATCCTACCTTTAAAATATCCTCTCACCAGGTGTGGCAGTGGATGCCTATAATCCCAGCCTTCAGGAGGCTGAGGCAGGATCAATCGCAAGTTCAAGGCGAGCCTCAAATTGGAAAACTAGGGCTGGGGTTGTAGCTCAGTGGAGAAGCACTTTCCTAGCATGTGTGAGGCACTGAGTTCAAGTCTCAATACCACATATAAATAAATAAAATAAAGGTCCATGGCAATTTTTAAAAATATTTTTTTAAAAAATTGGAAAACTGGGGCTGGGATTGTGGCTCAGTGGTAGAGCGCTCGCCTCACAAGTGAGAGATCCTGGGTTCGATTCTCAGCACCACATAAAAAAATAAATAAACAAAATAAAGATATTGTGTCCATGTATAACTAAAAAAATATTTTTAAAGATTGGAAAACTATTGTCAATGATAATGTTGGTGAGGGTACTAGGAAGTAGGCTGTCTCATTGGCTATTGGTGGAAATGTAAAATGTCTAAACTTTCTTAAATGGTGAATCATGGTCATTTTTTACTTTAGTTTTTGTGTTTTACTGTTCCCAATTTTTTCCAGTAATTATTCCCCCTGACTCTCTCTCTCACACACACACACACACACACACACACATACATGCACGCACGCACACACGAATTACTTTTTAAACCAAAAAAACAAAAACAAAAACATCAATCATTTTAACTTTCCTTTTCTCTCTTTTCCCCCCTTTCTTCTTTCTTTTCTTTTTTCCTCCCTACCTTCCTGGCTGGATACGTGCACAGCAAACTTAAGGAAGCTGATCCCAGGGGCAGGATGCTTGCTTGTTGTCCAATCTCTTCGGAATGTTAGCCCAGGATCAGGTTTCTCTGGAATGATGTAATATCAGTCATTGAAACTGTCTCTGCAGAGGCTGTTTTGTGAACCCACCGGAAATGTGGGGCTGGGAAAAACAGGCAGCCGCAAGCAGGGCCCACCCAGTTTGAGGTGGGGTCCCACAACCTCTCCTGCCAAGATGTGGGTCTTTACAGACAGGGAAGCCTAACGTTTCTTGGCACGCCTATAATCCCAGAGGCTAAGACAGAAGGATCACAACATTGAGGCCAGCCTGGGCAACTTAACCGAGACCCCATCTCAAAATTAAACTGAAAAGAACTGGTGGGGGGCTGGGGGTAGCTCAGTGGTAGAGCACTTGCCTAGCATGTGCAAGGCCCTGGGTTTAGTCACCAGTACCCCGTTGGGGAGGGGGGACAATCATGGCCACATGTGCCTTTCCCTCTGCTGCATGCAGTCTGCCTTCTGATGCCTGTTATCCTGTGTCACATCCGTGTCCTGTTCCTCCAGTGCCCAAGCACTTAATCTCCCTGTCTAGAAGGGAGGCTCAAAGCTGAGTAGCCGAACCAGTGGGCCCTTGGGCCATCTTCCTTCATTTTTTTCCTCTCTGGAGATGTGTTACCAGCCCAACATTTCATTTAATGGTCTTGCTTTGGGGGCTTGGCAGTTAAGTTTCAGAACAAGCAGGCCCACTTAGAACGGTTCTCACCCATGGCAGTGAGCAAACATGGGCCCACACATACCTGGCTTCCCGCCTGGGCTGTCATGTTCGGGTTTTCTCAGCTTCATCCCTCCTAGACCCAGGGCTTCTGACAGTTTGCACAGCCAACGTGAACAGTCTGCCAGCAGCCCCAAGGTTGTTTGGAGTGGCACCTAGAGCTGTGGGTTGGGGCTGGTATGGGATATCGCTGCCCTGTGTATGGTAGGCCAAATGGCACACATCTTAGCAGGTCTGGTGAGGGGCTGAGGGGGTGAGTGGCACATTTGAACCACTTGCTCTTGTTGGAAAAGCTGTCCCTCTCCCATGGGGCTAAGGGGAACACCACAGAATGGGAAAGCAGGGGAGCGATTGGCTGCTGGTGGGTGGAGATGCTTCCCTTCCTTGCTTAACCACCTGGTGGAGGTCTGATTGTGTCAAACACGTGTCATCCATTTTCATGACCATGCGTTTCAGAGAATGTGCCTATGGGAGAGCCAGGAGAGGAGAAGCCTGGTCCTCCATCATCCTCTGTCACAGCTTGAGCCTGGGTGGGGTCTGGGTTCTCCTGCTATGTATCTGCCTCATGGGAGTGTGGGAATTATAGTCAGCTGTCCCTTTATGCCCAGCATCCTGCTTTAGCCCAGTTATTTCTTTATTTACACTTTAGTGATTTTCTCACTCATCTCCTGAGGGTCTCAAAAGAACTCTGCAATTAATCTGGCTTGGATTTAACCCCGACCTTTTATTTTTCTTTTTACAGCTTAAACTTTGGAACAAATACCGAATTTCCAACATTCCATCGCTAATATTCCTAGATGCCACCACTGGGAAGGTCGTGTGCAGAAATGGGCTCCTGGTGATCCGTGATGACCCAGAAGGTGAAGCTTCAGCCTGTCTATCCACACTTATGACCTGACTCCCGCTCCTTCCCCTGCCCTAGCCCCCTCCTCCTTGGTACAGGGAATGCTAATAAATATGTGTAAGTGGGTTTACGTGGCTAGAGAACATTGTCTTGATGAAATTATGGTATTTTGTAGGTCATGGTTAAGATTTTTAAAGGGATAAGAATGTCCCTCTAGGGGACTTTAATTCATGGGCTGAAGGAATTGGAATCTGGAAAAGAAAGTTCAGCTTTGAAGTCTAAGGAGGCTGTTGAAAAGCAGCAAAAACCAAGATACTGACCGCTTGTGCTATTTCTTTTCTTTTCTTCCCTTCCTTTCACTTTTTTGCCATCCTGGGGATGTGCTCCACCACTGAACTACCTTCCTGGTCATTTCTATTTTTTATTTTGAGACAGGGTTTCGCTAAGTTGCCCATGCCACCTTCTAACTTTTCACCCTCCTGCCTCAGCCTCCCAGGTAACTAGGATAACAGGCCTGCACCATCACACCCGGCTTTCCAGTGCTTTTCTCAGTAGCAGCTGTTAACTTCACAATCAGAGGCAAACTAAAGGGGCCTTTCTCTCTCCCCATTTTTTTTTTTTTTTTGGTAGATGGACACAATACCTTTATTTTATTTATTTACTTTTATGTGTGGTGCTGAGGATCGAACCCAGTGCCTTGCACGTGCTAGGCGAGCGCTCTACCGCTGAGCCACAACCCCAGCCCCTCTCTCTCGAAATTTAAAGATAGATTGAGTATCCCTCATCTGAAATGCTTGGGAGCAGAAATGTTTCAGATTTCAGAATTTTTTATATTTTGAAATATTTGCACAGAGTTTACGAGTTGAACATTCTTAATCCAACACTCTGAAATACTCTGGAATCTTAAAACTTTTTGAGCACCAAAATGATTCTCCGGGCAAGGTGGCGCATGCCTATAATCCCAGCAGCTCTGGAGGCTGAGGCAGGAGGGTTGAGAGTTCAAAGGCAGCCTCAGCAACATAGCAAGGCCCTAAGCAACTCGGTGGGACCATCTCTGAATAAAATACCAAAAAGGGCTGAAAGGGCTGGGGATGTGGCTCAGTGGTTAAGCACCCCTGGGCTCAATCCCTAGTACCAAAAAAAAAAAAAAAGACTCAGATAGTTTTAAATTTCAGGTTAGAGATGCTCACCATCACCATGGCTTCATTGCTGTCTGTGTTGCAGTGAAGATTTAAACACACTTGCATGTACACACATACATGCACACATATACCCCAAAGATTGGAATCAAGAGGTTTTTTTTGTTTTTTTGTTTTATTTTGGTTAGGAGGGTTGAACCCAGGGGCACTTAGACACTGAGCCTCATCCTGTGGGGGGGGGGGGCGCTAAATTGTTGAGGCTGGCCTTGAATTTGCAGTCCTCCTTCCTCAGCCTCCAGAGTCACTGGGAATATAGGCGTGCACCACCAAGCCTGGCTCCCCGGAGATTTTTATATTCTTTTATTTCAGGGTGGGCTTGGCCACCTGCATTTTTTAAAACTGGTCTATACTTCTCCCTCTAGTCCTGGATCTCTCAGGCAATTTTGGAGCAGTGGGCCACAGACCACCCTGTAAGAACATATTTTTCTGTAGAACTGAGAGCATATTATTTACTCTTCCGCCAGGAGCTTAAGTGTTATCAGAATGTTGACCATCTGGGTTGGGTGGGTTTTAATCTTTCCTTTTATTAGACTTAAATTCTCACTTGGTTCCCTTAGCTCCAACCCAGACCAATATAATCAGATTCTCTGGGGATGGGGCCCCGGAGCATTATATTTTAAAATTCCCCTGTAGATTTTAACATGTGGTCAGCATTGAGAACGACTGAGATGCTAGGATTTAGATTGCATCAATTTGTGGCTAACGCCTGAGGCAGGGATTCACAGCCCTGCCCCACCATCAGAATTACCTGGGGAGTCTGCTCAGTTTTGTCCTCAGCCTTGCTTCTGTATCCAGAGGTGGCCCCATGCAGGCTTGGGAGCTGTTGCCCCACAGGTAGTGGATGAGTTCTTTTGTTTGCATGTGAGCTGCATATCCCATGGCTGTGTTAACAGATAGCATTTGATGGTGAAGTTGTCCTGCCTGCAGCTCAGTGGCTCCTGGGCCCCATGCCATAAGGAGGAGTCTTAACATTGCCATCTGTTGCTTTTTCAGGTCTGGAATTCCCGTGGGGACCTAAGCCCTTCAGGGAAGTCATCGCAGGGCCCTTACTTAGAAATAATGGGCAGTCCCTGGAGAGCAGCAGCCTGGAGGGGTCTCATGTGGGAGTCTATTTCTCCGCACACTGGGTGAGTGGTTGGTCCCCCCTAAGTCCAGACAAATAGGAGCACTGATGTCACCACTGAGCTCAGCTGTGGTTGGCATCTGGGGGTGTCTGCTCTGGCAGGAATTCTCTGGCCTTCTTGTCTTCTCCTGCTCCTGATGCAGTGTTGGCATGCAATTAGTGCTTAATGTTATAAATGATAATAGCAGCAAGAAACTAACTTTAAAAAATTTTTTTTTTCAGTGCTGGGGATAGAACCCATGGCCTTGTGTGAGCTAGGTAAACACTTTACCACTGAGCTAAATCCCTAGCCCCCAAAATGACTTCTTTTGATTGATCTGAAAGGATATTCCCCTTAACCCATTCACATGAGCCTTTAAGGGTTCCCAAGGGCACTGTTCTAACCACTGCCTGCTGGCTCACTATGGAGCAGGGGGCACTTGTGTGCTGAATGTTGGTTCATGAAGAGGAGCAAGCTCAGTTCCACCTCTTTTGTGTCCCAATCTCACTTGGGTCTTCCTCTGATGGCACAGCAAGGTCCTGCTCTTTTCTTTCAGTGCCCACCCTGCCGAAGCCTCACACGGGTGCTGGTGGAATCCTACCGGAAGATCAAGGAGGCCGGCCAGAAATTTGAGATCATCTTCGTTAGCGCAGACAGGTGAGGCATGCCTGTGCAAGGTGGTGCTGCTTCCCTTTCCCGAGGTGGTTAGCATCCATTTCTTTCACCTTACACTTCTTACTTCCTTGCTGTAGGAGTGGAGGCAGCACTTGGGGAAGGCATATCTGGCACTTTTGGCAGAGGGCCAGATAGATACATTTCACATTTGCTCCTATAATTGTCTGAAGGGAACCAAGAAAAACCTTTTCTTGCTGTGAACACTGGGGCAAATCCCAATCCAGACCTGGGCCATTTTGGATTTGGATTTGTTTTCCAATTTGTTCAAACAGCTTTCTAGATTGTGAGGAAAAGATACAGAGTGGGGAGATGGAAGAGAGCCAGCGCCTGATGGGATCTGACGGCTGTCTTGCTGCACATGCAGTCATTTTTCTTAGCCCTGGTCATGCACTCTGTCTGGGGGCTGTTTGAATCACAAAAGCAAGAAAGACAGACATTCTTCCTGGAGCAAGTTCAGGTCCTTTTAGCCTCAATTTCCTCTGCTTCTCTTTCCGACGTCACGTCACGTATCACCAAGCTTCCTTCAACTCAGAATTCCAGCCCTGTTCAGCCTGGGTCCCCAGGCACTTCTGTCTCTCAGGACGCTGTTCACAGAAGGGCTGCTGAGATGCCGGCACGCGGAAGGCCTTTTGCATATTGTTATGTAACTTGGCACCGCACTATCCCATGCTTGTCTTAATGGCCCACGGTTCCTCCCCACAGCTCCCTGTCTCAGCGTGTAGAGTGGGGGCAAGCCTAAAGGCATGTCGGGCGGAGCAGTCCCTTTTTAAAAAACTTTAAGCAACATCACTTTTATTGAAATATAGTTTCTACACAATAAAAGGAATACCTTTAAAGTACACAATTCAGTGAGTTTTGCCAAATATATTTACCTATATAATTGCATCGTCAAAGTTAAGATACAGAATGTCTCCATCACTCAAAAGATTCCTTTGTGGCTCTTATCAATCAGTCCTCATCCCCAAATTCCAGCTCCAAGGAACCTCGGATGTACTCACTATCACTTGAGTAGTTTTGTCTTTCCTAGAATTTCTTAAACATGGACTCACAGGTGTATGCTTGGTTTTAAATTTATGGTCTTGTACACATCACGGTTCCCTATGCAGAGTAGAAATATCACAGGGAATACAATAGCTGTGTATGTCTGAGCTCCCTGGAATAGTAAGACCTGTCTGGGTTGAAAATGAACATCTAGGCATGAGAATAATTGGTAGGATGTGAGCAAGGGGGATATTGCAGTGGCCAGCCTGGCGCTTCAGTTTGGGCTCCACCTGCTATGTGGAGGCATTTGCTTCTTGGTGAACACAGAATGGGTAGAACAGAACATTCCCATTGCCTGGTGTCCAAGGAGCATGATGTCATGAACCCCAGCCCTATAGGGGCTTCGGGCACAACTCTGTAATGGGTGGGGAGGACTGAATGGAGGTATATTCTGGATAATAGGACCTTGTTCTCCATGGGTGTCTCTCTGCAGGTCAGAAGAATCATTCAAACAGTACTTCAGTGAGATGCCCTGGCTTGCTGTCCCCTACACTGATGAGGCCCGGAGGTCGCGCCTGAACCGGCTATATGGAATCCAAGGTAGGCATCCCAGGCCCTGACTCCATGTGGCTCCTTAGATGGCAACCAAGGCCCATTGGCCCTCTAGGTTCACCACATCCCTTTCCTTATTTTTTTTTAAGATTTTTTTAACAATACCTTTATTCCATTTATTTATTTTTATATGGTTCTGAGGATCAAACCCAGAGACTCACATATGCTAGACAAGTGTTCCACCACTGAGCTACAGCCCCAGCCCACATCCTTTTCCCTTTAGCAGAAAAAACAAAAAAACAAAAAACACCTTTATTTCCAGGAATGTTCATATTCTTCACCATCTTAAAAATTACTTGGTGTGGATTTAAGTACTTGTCCTGGTGAGACAGCTACTTCTCACTTTCTGACATAGTAGCTTCTGACATAGGTGGGCCGCGGAACACATGCTCCCAAATGACAAGGCCAAAACAATGAGGTTTTACTGTCAAACAGACCAGTGTGTGACAGAGAGTGACCTTTAGTTCCATCACTCAGAGTTCTTGAGCTTCAGTTTCCTCTTCTGAAAAGTGGGGATAATAAATTGTTTAGAGCATGAATATGTGTATACATAAAGCACTTCTCACAATTCCTGAAGCGTCATGGTGGGGCTGAGTGGTGGGTAATAACCTTTTGGGTAAGGAAATTGCTTGAGAGTGTCTAGAACCAGGACTTGTGGTACTAATCATAGTGATTTTCAGAAATAATGATTATTAGCCAGGTATGGTGGCATGTGCCGGTAATCCAGTAACTTGGGAGGCTGAGACAGGAGCCAGCCTCTGCAATTTAGCAAGACCCTTTCTCAAAATAAAAATTGAAAGGACTGTGGCTCAGTGGTTAAGCACCTCTGAATTTAATCCATGGTGTCCACCCCTGCCCCCCCGAAAAAGACTGTGAGAGAAACAAACTGTATTTCTATTCTTTATTATACTATCAACTCCTTCTCATTCTTCAGCAGAATGAATATACTTCATTCAGTACTTTACTTTTTTTTAGTGAAGTACTTACTTGGCAAGTATAAGAATTAAACTAGGAGTTGGTTGTGTTGCTCAGTGGCAGATAGCTTGTCTAGCATGTTTCAGGCCATAAGTTCCATTCCTATCACCCACCCCAAAATTACATGGGGGTTGTCTTTGTCCTTTCTGCCTGCAGGATTCAGTTCTTCACCCTCAAAGTGACTCTGTGATTTTCCTAAAATGGAGATGTGACTGTCTTTTTTTAACTGCACGGCCAGCACATTCCACCTGGCTGAGCCTCAGCCTCTATTCTGGCTTGTAACTTGAAGTGCTCCTTCCCTGGCTACAGTGAGACTCACCCGTAGGTTGGGTAGGACCCAAATCTTTCCTAAGTGTTACCAAGACTTTGTTGTCTCCTAGAGCCATATCCAAGAGCACCTTTGCCCTACCTCTTCTGCTAACCATGGATTTTCCATCTTGGCCTTTCAGTAATTCTGGGAAAACCCTGGGATTTTTCAAATCCCCATTGCCTGTACATACCAGCAGGTGTCTCCGATGTGTGGCCTCCTCTGACTTCCTAACAGAGGCTCCTCAACCACAATCTGGCCTCTGTTCTTCCCCTTCCAGCTATGTGTGTGGGTTGTGTACTAGTATGCAAAAAATATGCTTCTGTGATGTGGTTGAGCCTTGGAATATACTCTCCCAGAGGCATCTCAAAGATAGGCCAAGATTGTCAATTTTCCTTCTCCTGCCAGATGTGGGCACTGTGGATCTTCTCCTAGGATATTGTTTTCTGCTTATTTCTTTCCACATTTATTACCACCACCTTATTGCAGGCCACCAACATCCCAGCCCCACTACAGTGGCCTCGATCAGGTTACTTAACCTCTCTTTGTTCAGTAAAATGGGAATATTTCAGTGTGGGGCAAAAGGTAAGCACATTACAAATATTTGTTGGCTAACACAGAGAGGAATAAAAGGAAAATTTTTATTTTATCACCTAAAGAAGATAAACTTTAGAATATAATAATGTTGAAACAAAGGCAACCAACAATATTAGTAACATATATGGCAAAGAATCCATATTCTTTCATAAAGGAAGCGCTTTCTCCAGATACCAGTTTAAAAAGACAAGACAATTTAGTAGAAGATATAAGATATGAAGCAGACAACTTACCCTATATACATTGTCAGTATGGATGTGAAAAATATTCAGCATAATTTCATGATTTACAGATGAGAACACTAAATTTGCATCTATCACATTTGCAAAGAACCATCACCTAAAAATGATAATGTAATCCCAGTGTAGGGAAAGATAGCAGATGGCTAGTAGGGATATAAATCAAGAGATTTATAGGGATATAAATTTGGAGAGCAATTTGGCAATATATATCAACAGCCTTGAAAATGACTTGTACCCTTAAGTTACTTTTTTTAAGCAGTTTGATAGCCTTAATTTATAAATCCCACTTATAGGAATTTATTCTCAAGAAATTATCCTAGAGCACCCAGTAAAAACTAAGCTTAATCAGGTGGTAGTTTTGGTTTTATTCTGTTTCATTTGGGTTTTTGGTACTGGGGATTGGCGTTTGAACCCAGGGCCTTGGACATGCTAAATACACTCTCTACCTCTAAACTACACTCCAGCCCCAGGTTTGGGGATTTATTTATTTATTTATTTACTTACTTACTTATTTTAAGATCTTTTGTATACTTCAAATTTCATTATGGGCCACAATTCTTTCTTTGCGTTAGACCTTAGAAACTCAGCTGAACTCTCCCTCTGATTCTCAGTGGTCAGCGTGCATATGTTATGGACATAGGAGCCATGGTTATTAGGGGTGGCTCAGACAGCCAGAAAGCAGGTGGCCATAGTGGAGGAGGAAGAGAATACAGGGATGAATTTCAGAGGCTCATTCATTTGGGGCAGTTTAGGCCCTGGCAGCGTAAGGATGAGAAGTACATATGTGGTCCCAGACTACAAGAGACCCTTAGCTGAGGATCACAAAGCTGATCTGGAAAGACCTGGTCCTTAGGCAAGCAGCAGCCAGACAGCTAAACTGAAAGAATGTCAGATTCCTCTGGAACCCAGCTCCAGCCATGAGTGTTCTTTGCAGCCCAGCCTCATATTGGACCCTTCCTTTTTCTGGTCTGCCGACTCCATGATGTCCATCCCCTGCCATCTGTGATAATCTCTCTTCAGCTTGGAAATATCTACTTTTCCAACTCCCCACCTCCTTCTTCCTCATTCTATGGCTTCCAACTTCTCCCTGGCACAGTGTTGCCTGCCCCTTGTTTCCTCACGGCAGCATTTAATAGAATAAGTTTCAGAGGAAACCCTGGCTTTAGAGCTACCGATCCAGGAAGACTTCCCAGACGAGGTAGTTGTAGAGCAGGGCCTTATAGAATAGGTGGGGTTAGATGAAGGGTTTGGGACATTAGAGACAAAGGTCAAAATAAACCTTTGGACAAATATTTGTAATGTGCTTACTTTTTGCCCCACACTGATACCTCAGGAAAGCCTGAGGTTTGCTGTTGGGGCAGAGCAGAGATAAGGCTGATGAGGCCGTATCACAGAAATATCACAGAAAGCCTGAGGCATCCTTGGACTTGACCATTTTGACATTTATAGACTGGAAGAGAAATCCCTTAGTCAGGTCATCCACTGATATTTCTGGTGGACACACTGAGTCTTACCCTGGAGCTCAGGACTCTGCTGCCAGGTTGTCTAGCCTCACACAGGCCTGCCCTATGGAGAGGGGAGGAGGCCATCTCCCTGCTTCTGCTCCTCCCAGCCTCACATTGTCACCTATGTAAGGGCATGTGAGATGGGACAGGTGGGAGTCTGTCATCCATGAGGCTTATGCAGCTGGTTTCCCAGTGAAGCACAGGTTGTCATTAAGTTCTTGTGCAGTGTTTCACATTGATCTTACCATTCAGAAACCTTCTTCTCACAAGTACAAGTTCAGGCAAGCTTTCATCCCACTAGTTACCAAAGCAGCCTGAAGTGGGCCGCAGGGCTGCTGAGAACATGCCTCTACAGCCCTGCACAGGCTGGACCCGGGTCTAGGGATGCAGAGCAGGGCCAGCTGGAAACTTACCCATGACCACCAACAGAGGTCCCATGGCCATCACATCCTTCCCCTCGTTCCTTTCCCCTCTTCCAGCCGCTTTCCTCAGCGGACCTGTATTAGTGGCAATATAGATAGCTCTCCTGAATTCCGCAAGTGTCCCCCTGTGCCATGAAACTTTCCTGTAACTTCATCAGGTTCCATGTCTCTGAACAGCCCCACCCCCTCTCCTCATTCGCAGTCTCATCCTTACTCTCCAAGCCTCCACCTTTGTTCTAGTTTCTTGCTCTTCGTCTCTTCCATTTTTTCTTTTCTTCCCCCCCCCCCCCCTTGTATAGTGTTAGAGATTGAACCCAGGGCCTCACACATGTAGGTAGGTCCTCTACTACTGAGCCACACTCCAGCCCCTCCTCCAGCTCCTTTTCACCTCATGATATACTCAGATCTATCTTAGCCATAAAACAAACAAAACAACAACAATCATCACCCACTAAGCGACTAGCTCAGTCTGCTAGGGCTGCCAGGACAAAAGACCACACACTGGGCAGCTTAAACAAGACTTTATTTCTCACAGTCTTGAGGCTGGAGAACCAAGATAAGGTGATAGTAGATTTGTGTCCTGGTGAGAGTTTTCTTCCTGCCTTGCAGATAGCCAGCTTCTCCCTGTGTCCTCATGGCAGAGGAAGAGAGCTTTGATGTCTCTTCTCCTCACAAGGAACCAGCCCTATCAGATCAGGACTTCTCTTCCCTTCTACCCCCTTGATTTTGGGTTTTGCTGTGTTGCTCAGGCTGGTTTTGAACTCCTGGGCTCAAGTAACCTTACTGGCTCAGTAATGTTACTGAGTAGCTGAGTAGCTGGCTGGGATAAGGGCATTTGTCACTCCACCTGGCTTTTGAATTTTTAATTCTATGTATATATTTAGGAAATTGTAGTAGTTTCTTGTTAGGGATCTGTTGAACCCATTTACAAACTTCGAGT